TTGTCGAAAATAATTAGGTTATTTCAATGTGTGTTAATTTGGTGTTTTAGTAGTGTATCTGATATTATTGTTATTAAATAATTATTATGTACAAAATTGTGTAGTTTACGTTTAAAACATTTTCTAAGAGCGACAACCACGGAAAAACACTACAAAAAAATAATTTATTACAACACAATGTCTGATCCAAAAACCAAATAGTTATGAAATATATATAAATTTTGGAGGGAAGGTTATTACATTATCAAAAAGGAGGGGTATTTCCAGTAGCTGCTTCCGTAACTTGGCAATCTTATTAATGTCACGTCAGAGTTGCTCTCTGTTTTAACACACAGATTTTAATCCCCTCCGATGCGTGTGTGTGTGTTTCCTACACTTAAGATATTAATAAACAAAGATTTTCAGTGCCACATATAATTTAAGAAAGATTGGAAACCAGATTTGTTTAATATCTTATTACTTATATCTCTCTTATTTTTATTATTAAAAAATAAATAAATATAAGATTATAACTTCCTTCAGACCCTCGAATCTAGTGGAATAAATAGTGGTTTTAAATACAATTTAAACAGATCATGCCAAAGAAACTGTTAGTCACGTGATTAAGCTTGAATAAAAATATTTTAGGGAACTAAAATGAATTAATTATAAATAAGTGAACAGTTATTTGCATCATCATTTACATCAACGAAACTCACCTCCTTAACAGCACTTAAGATTAGTGATGTTGGTAGCGAATATTTCCATTCGAATTTTGCAGGAAATTTCAGAAATTTCCGAAATATTCGGTCCCAAAATCGCGAATATTCGCAAAAGTCCGAATTTTACAAGAAATTTCTTTTCAAAATTCAAGACATTGAGCAAAAATTTAACGAAAGTGTATCAAGTATGCCTATTCTTAAATCAGAAGAAAAAGAATGCTTCTCCGCCTTACAAAATAGAAGACGTATGGCTTTTAAAATAATGCATTTAGCCGCGAATCTCTTGGCCCCCTCTGTTTCCTGGGAGAGCACCTTAACAATGAAGAACACATAGCCACTATGGAATTTATCAACAATATCACCAACAAACATCCTCAGTTTGTCAATAATAAAGAAGCCATTTTTACAGATGTAACAAATTATTGCGCCAAATCGGGTTTATGGGCTCTCGACTACGTTTGGATGTCAGTTAAAAATGTAGACTGTCTAAGTTGGTGGCAAGCAATATGTAAAAATACTCAGTTGAAATATTTAGCTGTTGCTCTGCTGTCTTTGCCAACGTCATCTGCAGCCACTGAGAGAAGTTTCAGTACTTACAGTTGTATCCATACAAAAAAGGAATTGCTTAACTACACAAAGAGCCGGCAAAATAATGTTCGTAGCTCATAACAATAAATTATTGCAAAATAAAAACACTAAATCACCACAATACACCAAAACACTTTTACTTTTACACTGGACGCGCGTTTCGCTAACCATGTTAGCATCATCAGCAGATGATTATAAACTAAAGTACAATCTATAAGTTGAGCGTTTATATACTCGCTCAGTGAGCACCGAGTGGGCGTGGCAAAATCTAGCCAACCGAGTCAGAGCCAACTGAGCGTAACAGTTAACCGCCACTAGAGTAGTAGGAACAAAGAACTTGAAGGAATTGGACCGTTGACTCTGTTCATACTATCTTTACATTTATTAATTCTGATGCTTTCATATGCATCTAATTGCCTGTAATTTGAGACTTGTTTAATTAATTTTAAATTATTAAGATCTATACAATGTTCATTATCAACGATATGTTCGGCAACGCAAGATTTATCCGGTCTACCATATCTTATCTGAGCTAAATGTTCTTTAAATCTAGTTAATATTGATCTTCTAGTTTGCCCAACATATTTCTTATTACAATCTTTACAAGAAATTTCATAAATACCCGAACTTTCCAGTGGAGGTGTTTTATCTTTTGGATTACCTAATAATTGTTGTAATTTATTATTAGCACTATACACAAGTTTATAATTGACATTCTTAAAAATTCCTTTTAGACCACGGGATAACTCTCTATCAAACGGTATCGAAAAATATCTAGACGTATCTTTCTCCACTTTTCTAAGGTCGAATTTTCAGAAACCATTAACCTATACCTACGTTTTCTAATTAATTTATCAACTAGTGAAGGAGAATATCCCTCAACTGTAATAAATTATTACTACAAAAACAAAAAGTGGATATGGAACATGATATGCAACAACATGAAACTCCTCCAGAACCACTAGAACCCGTAGAGGTAGAGATCCATCCTTTAGAACCAGATGATACATCAAATATACCTGATTTGGAAATAAAAACTGACGAAGACAGTACTACTACTACTACTACTACTACTATAATACCCTATGAAGATGGGACCAGCTCGGCGCCTGAAAGTATTCCGGAATAGAATAATTCTGTTATTTGTGTTTTACGTTTTTTAAATTTATATTTCGTGCTTTTTTGTTTTTTTTTTAAGTTCATAGTCATAGTTCATGGTTTATGTACAAAGTACAAATGTTACCAAATAATTTTTGTTATATGTTATGTTTATGACTTTTAGGAGTTATGTATTGTTTATTAAAAATATAACAACTAGTATTATGTTTATTCTTTTTTTCCACTTACATGTTGGTATCAAATGTCTATCTAATTGTATCAACCATTGTATCAACAAAAAATATGTAAAATTGTAAAATTTCCTAAAATTTCATAAATTTCCGAAAGTTTCGGAAATTTCCTGCAACAATCAAAAGTTTCCGAAATATTAACATCACTACTACATATAGGGAAATCATACATATCACAAAACTTCAATCTAGTTCCGTATTGTAACGGTATTGTAAATTATGTCTTTATTTCCGAGAAAATTTAGTCGAAACATAAGGAATATTTTGTTGACGTTTGACCATCAAAATCTTAAAAATAAAGAAGTTGTCTAAAAATGTGCTACAATACGGATGTAGTATGATCCTTTATCTTTAATTTCCTTCTACATTTATGTAAAAATACCTAGCCAGTTTTACATAAAACGTTAAATGCCGAACGCTTATTTTGCTACTTTTTGGACTAGTGAAATGGACTCCAATCAAACCAAAAACTCAAAAATACAAAACGAAAGTGTCAAAAGAAACCAAACTGTCAAATCAAAATTAACTTCCCAAGTAGCATTTGGACGTTATCTAACGTCGGGTATACGTCGCGTTCTATAAACCCGACGTCGGGTACCAACGTCGGTTCGACCGCCTGACGACCCTTATTTGCACCTAAATGGGGAATACAGATTCGGGTCGCCTCGACGTCGGTATCTGACCTAATACGGAATGTAATTCTACCAATTACCAACGTCATATTACGTTGCATTTTAGTCACTTAAAATTCGTCGCTAAGCACTTATGTTACGTTTGGTTTCATGTTCGCTACCAAGATTACATAAAAACCTAACCAAACTACCTAATTACAAATGGATTCATAATCACTCCCCGAATATAACTATAAGTGCCTATCTAATTTCATATTATAATAATTCTGAATCATTAATCCAGACATCAGTTTTGTCAACGGAAGTCACTTTCTTGATATATCTGATTAAAATACTCCGGAACACAACGAGCGCCTTCAAAATTAGGTAGATTTATGAAATAAAAATATCTATAAAAAAGTAACTCGCAAAATATTTTTTTTGATTTTCTAGCTGGCTTAATCATAAAACTGTACTGTGGTTCCCCCCAAACTCAACCTTATCAATATTATTCTACTAGAAATCGAAATGTGAATATAAATTTTAAAAACAAAAAACGATTTTAAAATGGCTGACAATCGGATACGTGTTAAGAATGGCGGATTTCTGTGTCCGACTTAATATGAACTACCAATATACCAATTCCGACCGGGTCTCCAACATTAGTCGTCTCACACGACCGAAGTCATCAAACCGGACGACCGGCAATCGTATTATGACGTATATAATTCCAACGTACGCCACGTTACCTCACTTTGCGTTTTGCGTATCAGTGATTTGTGGATTTGTGCAACTATATTTTAGTTTTTGTTTTCTCGTTAAAAAAAATGGGCAGCCACTTTTTTAAGCCTAACCTCACACTTCGGAGGAGGATGGGGTCTGCTGGTGTCCTAAGCTAAAAAATGAAATTAAGATGCACCAGTGTAATACAGCATCTCTTCCGGATAAAAAGCATTTACGGGTGGAGGCAAGACATCACTACTACTATTATTATTTTGCAAAAGCCTCGACCTCTTTCTGTAAAATGTAGATGAATGTCTAAATGCCTTTTTAGTGTTTTTTTAGGCATAATAAAAATTTAAGTTTGTTTACAAAAAAACTTTTATTAGGTTATATTCATGATGTTCATTAGGTCGCAAATGCTACTTAATGGGTTGTATTTACGGACATAAATAGAGATACGTAAATTAGGTTATAAATATGAACATAAAATACAACAAAATATAATTGGACGTTACTTTAGGTATTATCAGTGAGACGTATCCTATTCGGACAACGGGTATAGACGTCGGGCTAGTTCAAGTATATGTACGTCGTGCAAGCCAACGTGGGAACGACGTTGGGAAATTAATAAAAATGGTACGTTGTTATTTTGTACGTCGACAGATCGTTGGATTTACCGACTCGGATCCAACGACGTCGCTTTTAATAGGAAAGCGACGTCACAGGTCGTATCACGAGCACCCGACCTAAATTTGCACAAAGTCTGACGTCGCTTCAGATCAGATTTAGTTCGAAGTCAGATAGATGCTACTTGGGTTTTTCTACTAATTGGTAATTTCTACCTCTAATTTTTACGTTTTGAATGCTTACCTCGAAATTACTGAAAATAGAGGTACAAACATCTACTCTAATTGAAACAACTGACTTATTTCACTAATTTTGAGCTTCTGAGTAAAGGTTGAAAATTTATTATCAAAAATTTAAATTGAAAAAAAAACAATAATTGATAAAAAATGGACGTTTTTCAGGAGGACATCGAATCAAGTTTGGACATCATTCACGAAGTGTCAACCAACAGTTTGGGATCTCTTTGCGTGACCGAATCCTTTCGTTCTCTCAGCGTACCTCTGGACACGCTGAGGTTCGAACCTGCCAGACAAAAAGCAGACTTGGCAGCCACGCTTCTACAGGACTTGGGACTGGCATATCACAATGGTGAGTATAGTCTTAAAAATTGCACAAGTTTTCAAAAAAAAATTCCGAAAAAAATTTCTGTGTTTCTGAGGTTGCAATATTCTGCCCCCCAAACATATTTGCACTTATTTAAGACTCACCCTGTATATGGCATCTTAATTCTCGTTAATTCCTGTATATTAATATACAGGGTGGTCCGAAGTGTATTCCGGAAACTTTGGCAGCTTATTCTGCAGATAAAAATAAGTAAAAAAGTTCGTATAAATGTACTTCGTAAAATGCTTAGTTTCGGAGATACAGGGTGTAGAAGTTTCATTTTTATTTCGATGTTTCATTTTTATTTCGATTTTTTCCAAATAATTTCTGAAGTAACGTCGATATTTGGATGATAATTGGTGTCTGGAAGTTTTTTGACATGACAAATTCGATTTTGATGTCAATATGAGTCCTATTTGTAGGGGGCGCCACCTACATGTGTTTTAACTGTTTTGAAGAGTAATAACTTTTTGTCCGTAACTGTATAAAAGTACTGAGTAAAAAAATATACATTTCCGTGACTTTTTACGTAAAAAATGTCTCTTGGTAAAAATCGTTACTAGCAGCCGTTCTCAAGATATTTAGAATGGAAATAGTCAATACATGTCATTATTGACAAAAACTAAAAACGTTGAATAGATAGTTATTTGACTGAAACAGTAAATTTGGGAATTTTTTTTTAATTGTAAATTAATCATAAATTTTTCTGCGAAAAAATGATAAAAAAACAGCTTCTGCTCGAGTTTCTGTTAAACTTTTGGCACAAAAACATTTTAAATTTATGATTTCAGTTAAGATAAACATCGAATCGCTATGGGACTTGTCGATTAAACAACTATATGAGAAAAGACTGACAGAGAAAATCCAAGTAAACCCAATAAAAGCAGAGGATAGCATAAATACCTCCTGGGAAAAACTAAAGAACAACATCAAAGAGGCCGCATGTGAAGCTTTAGGCACCCGGTCTATAAAAAGAAATAATAGCACCAAAATAAATAAAACTCCGTGGTTCCGTCCAGAAATTAAAGAAAAATGTAGAGAGAAAAAAATAGCATACCTCAACTACAGAACATTACGCACACGAGAATCATTCGAAACATATAGACGAATCCGAAACGAGACAACAGCACTAGTAAGACAAACAAAAAACCAACATTGGGAAATTTTCTCTAAACGAATGGAGAGTGACTTCTACGGACTTCAAAAACAAATTTGGCGCTTTATAGGAACGCAAAGAAAAGAGATTAACGAGTTAGTTGAAACAAATCACATAGCAAGGGAATCTTGGATTGATTATTTGTCAGAACTATACAAATCAGAAGAGATAGAGGTTGAACTAAATACACCCGAAATAATGACCAACGACAACGTACAGATTGAGGCAGCCGATATAATTACAACCCTTCGAAAGCTAAAGAATAGGAAGAGCCCAGGGCAAGATGATATCCCAAACGAATTACTTACATATGGCAGCCAAAGTCTCATAGAGCAGCTAACATCCCTGATTCAAAAAATTCTTTACCAACACAGGATACCCGATGAATGGCGAACCAGCACCACTATCTTGATGTTTAAAAGAGGAGATACGAAGCTGCCCTCAAACTATAGGGGCATAAATCTTCTAAGCAGCACACTAAAACTTACGACAAAAGTGATAACAACCAAAATAAACGACTTAACATGCTTAGCAGATGAACAGCAAGGTTTCAGATCGGGCAGATCATGTACAGACGCAGTTTTTGTCATAAGACAGATAACAGAAAAATCAATCGAATATAACAAACCAGCGTATATGTGTTTTATTGATTTAGAAAAAGCGTTCGACCGTGTGCAGCTAAGAGACGTTGTACACCTTCTTTACAATAGGCAAATCCCACACAACCTCGTTAAAACCATACAAAACATATGAAGCGAACCAAATTCAAGCTAAAATTAACGGGGTCCTGACCGAACCAATAAATGTAGGCTGTGGTATCCGACAAGGTGACTCCCTGAGCCCTCTTCTTTTCAACATCATTATGGACGAAATAATAGGAAATGTACGTTTACTGAAGTGATACAGTATGGGCGACCAGGAAGTTACTATTCTATGCTATGCCGAAGACGCCGTATTGGTAGCTGAAAATGAGAACGATCTACAGCGCTTATTACATCGATTTAATTGCACTGCCAAATCACTTAATATGATAATATCGACCCAGAAAACTAAATGCATGACGACATCAAAAGTACCACTAAGATGCAAACTGGAAGTCGAGGGCAAAGTTTAAGTATGTAGGCATAGAAATCTCAGGATATGGTGATCATCGAAGGCAACCAGAATAGCAGGATGCCTGAATGATACAGTATGGCGAAATAAAAACATTGAGGTGGAGACTAAAGCGAGAATTTACAAGGCAACGGTACGACCAATAATGACATACACTGCAGAAACTCGACCTGATACAGCGAAAACTAAACAACTACTAGAAACAACCGAAATGAGAGTACTACGCAGAATAGCTGGAAAGACGCTTCTGGACGGGGACAGAAATGAAAGCATAAGAAGAGCGTGCAAGGTGGAAAATGTAAATGAGTGGGTACTAAGCAGAAAGGAAGAATGGAACGAGCATATCAGCAGAATGGACAACAGAAGGATAGTGAGAGTTGCACGCGACAAATCACCGCTAGGTCGCAGAAGCTTAGGACGTCCACGAAAACGATGGAGCGACAACTTGTCAGTCTAACCGGTAGAGACGACGAAACCAAATAGGCGATTCGCCTAGTATGAAGAAGGAAGAAGAAGAAGAAGATTTCAGTCTAATAACTGTTTAGTCAACATGTTTAATTTATGTCAATGATGACAGGTATTGATAATTTCGATTCCAAATATCTCGAGAACCATTAAGCTTGATTTTCATGCATCCGTTGTCCGACGATACGATGATACGATATTAATTTTATTGGTTGAATTTAAAGGCTTCGATTGGTTAACCGTTTTTAACCAATCGAAGTGTCGATTTTCATGCATCCGTTGTCCGACGATACGATGATACGATATTAATTTTATTGGTTGAATTTAAAGGCTTCGATTGGTTAACCGTTTTTAACCAATCGAAGTGTCTAAATTCAACCAATAAAATTAATATCGTATCAACGTGTCGTCGGATAACGGATGCATGAAAATTAAGCTTTACTCGTAGCGATTTTATCCAAGGAACTTTTTTTACGTAAAAAATGTCGTAGATGTATATTTTTTTCTCGGTAGTTTTATACAAGTAGCCCTCTACAAGTAGGAGACATATTGACATCAAACTCAAATTTCTCATGTAAAAAAACTCCCATACACCAATTTTTATTCAAATATTTACGTTGCTTCATAAATTATGTGGAAAAAATCGAAATAAAAATGAAATTTCTACACCCTGTATCTCCGAAACTAAGCATTTTAGGACATACATTTATAAGAACTTTTTAACTTATTTTAATCTGTAGAATACAGAAATACACTTTGGACCAGCCTGTATATTAATCCATTAAGAAATAGATGGATTTAAAAATTCATTAAAGGTATATTTTTTTGACTTCCAAAACAACATGCATTTAATATTATATTTATTAATACAATTTATATACAAAAACAAATAATGAGTTAATATGCACAAGAATTAGTCATAAAATAAAAAAAATATTTCGTTCATGTTTCTCCTCAGTTTTGAATTATGTACCTAATCATACTCATTATGATTGAACAATTATTATAAAAATTAAATATAAAACAATACGAATAACATTCATAGTTGTTAGAAATAATAATTGTACTTAAAATTGATCTAAACCGAAAAATATCTTGCAGATATAATATAAAGTATGAGCTAATTCTAAAAATAAATTACTTAAAATTAAGATAAAAATCCTTTTAAAGAAAAGCATTGTTTTAAACAATTCAAAAATTAAATTTCAGTTCTTTTCTCTTAAAATACTGTTAAAATAATTATTAATATCTCATGGGCACCGTTGGTTGCACTGGTTCCTTGATCGAATGGTTCCTCTTAATGAAGTCTTGCCTTACTTTCAACTCACTGATCAGTGCACTGTTTCCCAAGAACGCATCCCTAGCAGATTGTCTTCTTTCTATCGAATCCATACCACTATTCAACCTCCTGGGTAACATTATAGGGAAATGCCCAGCTATTTCGGCCTCGTGATACCCCACGGGCTGTCTTTGACCACCCCACCTATGCAACCCAGCCATTTCTGTATCAGAATTTCTATTCTGTGACAGGTTATAAAGTCCGGGAAAATGACTGGCTATCTCTGCATCGTACCGGCTGATTTGGGCACTCGGTACACGACCAATGTTGTTTCTTTGGTGTCTTGGAATGACTGGATAGTGTCCTGCGAGTTCTGCTTCGCTGTATTTATCACTTTCGTATGAATCTACCGAGTTCAGTCTATTATGCATCATGTTTCCGTTAAGTAGCCTGTTATTGTCTTCCAGGTAATTGAAGCTTGAAGATTTTGAACTCGATTCTACCAGGTCAGGTGTGGTTAAAGCTGTGTGGCTCATTGTGGTCGAAACCGATTCAGAATCTGAAGCTCCGCCTCTATTCATGTCTCCCTCAATATCGTTTACGTGTCTTCTATGTTTTCCTTGTCTTTTTCTAAGCGATTCCATCACTTCCTTGTTTGCCTCCTCGCCTGGTCGTTGTGGAGGCGCCATCAGAGGTGTATTAGGGCTCAAAGTAGCCCAAATTTGTCCTGTTTGAGTCACAATTAATCCTTTCTTTTTCTGTTTTGGTTGAACGCTAGACCTTGGTGTTTCTTGTGCTTCTTCTGGGGAAGAGTTTCTATATACTTGTCCTGGAGGTTGTGTGTAAGGAGTCCTGTAATGCGATGTTTCAGAAATTCTTGTGGAGGTTGGTTTTGATAAACTGCTCCTTGTGGTTGGGGTTCTTCTGAAGACGGGTTTCGGTAAACTGGTCTGGATTGTGGTATTGCGGGAGCTTGTGGTTTGTGTCTGAGTGGTTGGAACATTGCTCGGGGAATTTCTGTTTGGATTGGCCTGAGAGTTTGTCTTGGTGTTTCTGGTTCTTTCTCTTCTAATCTGGGGATTGGTTTAGCGGTTGCAGGATTACAGGGGCATTCGAATTCGTGCTTCCAAGCAGCTTTACCGAAGTAAAGAATTTCTTCGCATCCTGAATACGAAAAAAATAAATAAATTAGTGCTAGTATCATCTACAGACAAGGCATTTTCTTACCATATCTCCTAAATGAACAGGGAAACATAAACAGGGTAGCTATATTTTCGTATGCATGATTTCGCACTGAGTTTGGTGGTCTTCCGCTGTTTCTCACGCATCTAAAACATATATTCTCATTTTGTGACTGAGAATAGACAGGTTCACAGTTGAGGTAAGCTTTGCATATTTTGCAGGTAAGGAAACTCAAAACTTTATCCGGTACAAGTAGCAAACCAATTCCTAAAACAAATTTGAAATAGTATAGCACACAATTATTTTGAAAATTATCTAGGTTTATATTTTTGTTTTTTTTTAAAAAGAATTCTAGGTTTTTTTTCGCTATGTAGAGACATTTAAAACTGACGACTAATACGTTACTATGAAGTGTTTAACATGCTTACTTTGATTTTCCTCTGGAAAGCGTCTTCTTCCTTTGAAACAGGAACCTGGATGGGCGAAAAACAGGATGCAACAGCCACCGTAACTGCATTTACTTATGTGGTACGGGGCATCTTTCCATTCTGACACATTGGGACAGTGGTTCTGCCAATTTATACAGGGATACACAAAATTTGAGGCTAAGGCTTCGTAAGCTAAGTTTCTGAAACAATACAAAAAGTTTCGTTGTAATATTTTCCAAAAAAAAGGGATAAAATTACAAACAAAATATATAAACGCTCAAGTTGTAGATATTAGTTTAGTTTTAATCATCTGCTGATGATGCTAACGTGTTTGGCGAAACACACATCCAGTGCAAGTGTTTTGGCGAATTAGTGTTTTATTTTGCTGTTGTAACACCAAACGTTCCAACCCTCAACTGTAAGATATTACTTTTTGAAATTGTTTAAAAATTTATTTGTAACGTTTGAAAAATTTGCACGTTCTATTCGGAGTAAAGCTTGATTTTCATGCGTCCGTTATCCGTTGATACGATGGTTTAACGGCGCTCTGATTGGTTATAGCGTTTTTGCGTCACATTTCATCCGTAAATTTTTTACTTCAGCCCGTCAACGGAGAAAGATCGTACGATAACGGACGTTTTGACGCTTTTTTGACAAATTTAATGTAACCTTAATAAAAATATAATAGTACAAAAGCTGGCAACGTCGGGAAAACGAGAATTTTAGGAAAACTTGTTCTTTAATATATCTTTTGCTATGCTCTCCTGACCAAAGTGAGGGCCGTCTGGCTGCCGATAAACTACTCGGTTCACTACTGCGCATCATATCTCTACAGGGTATCGTATTTTCGTGTGGTTTATAGGATTTCCCGTTTATGGGTAGAGATGTGATTTTCACATAACTTTGTTACTTTTTGATGAAACTAAATATGCTACACATATGTTTGTCCTAGCTTCTTTAGTTCCTGAAATACAGAGCGAATTTGTGATGCGCAGTAGCGAACAGATGCTGAATACAGATATGATGCGCAGTACTGAACGCACTCTCGAGCATAGCAGAATATATATTAAAGAACCAGCTTTCTTAACATTCTCTCTCGAAAAAACCTTGCTAGCTCTTAGACTATAAGTAAAACAGCGAAATCGTTATGGAAATAAAAATATAAAATGACAAAAATCACAAGCAAATCGTACATTGGATGAATGGAGGCATGAAATTGCAACAAATTTATCAAATGCGTAATTTTCTAACCAATCGAAGTCTTTAATAAATTCAACCAATAAAATTACCGTCGGATAACGGATGCATGAAAATCAAGTTTAAATTGTACGTTTTGGGCTTAGCCTGTAACGTGAAACGTACAGAGTCGCCCCAAAAAGTGTCATGTCTACTCCTAATAAAACAATGAGGTATTTTATTTACCACCACATATGTAATACTGATATTTACCTGCAAAAAGGTCTTTTCGAATTCTTGCATCGTTCGCACAGTATATTTCCGTCTGGCAAAAGAAAAACTTGGCCCCCTGATATTTGTTGTCCGCAATAAGAACAAGGATTTTCTCGAAGAAACGAGAACGGAATTTGTATCTTGTCCATGCTAAAAATAAAAAGAAAATAAGAATATTAAAAAAAAGTCTTTGGAAGAAATAAAAATATTTAAAACATCCATTTAAAAGTAACTGGGAATTTATTTTTCTGTTTTTTTTTTCAGAGAAAAGATAAAATATTATTTATGCTCCTTTAGTGCTATTGGAGTTGACTAATCCAGCTTTAGCTTTAACTAAGTTTTATTTTTTAACGAATTTGTTACTATATGTTCGTAAATAATATGAATTTATAGATTTAATATGCCACACCTATGAAGATTTTTAGTTTAGTAGTTGATATCTCTAAATTGCAATATAGTTATAAATAAATAAATAAATGGCCTTTATTCTCAATTTTTTTTATATTTTGTAGTCAAAGGTAAAGTAAATAAATAAAAGAGAATAGAAAACAAGTATACAAATTATATTGTCAGTCTTATTGTTTAAAATAAACTTTTATAAATGTTTACAATGTCAAAGAATAAAAAAATAAAAATAAGATTCAAAAATATTTAGTAAGTTTATAGTAAATATAGTAATAGCAAATATTAGACCAGTGTTTACAAGATCAAAGTCGATTATCAAAATATAAGTCATTTACGGCGTAGAAAGCCTCGTCTAGTAAATAAGATTTCAATGCTTTGCAAAATGTAGAAAATTATGTTATGGATTTGATTTCAAATGGCAGGTGATTGTGCATTTTTTTCGAGTTGTATAATATTGAACTTTTAACTAACTCTGAGCGTGGGGTGGGTAGATAAAGATCTTGCTCCGCGTTCCTGAGTGGATAAGTGTGAGATGGTCTTTCTTGAAAAGCTCATACATGCTTACGTATTAGGCAAACGGATTCGAATATAAATAAGAAAGGAAGAGTTAATATTTTAATTTTTTAAAAAAAGTCCTGGCAATAAGTTCTGCTGTTTAGTCGCAGTGAATATCAAACAGCTCTTTTCTGGAGCTTCAAAATACGGTCAAATTGAGTCGCACAACACGTACCCCAGAATGGAAGGGCATATCTGAGGTGCGACTCAAAAAGTGCATAATAAACAGTTCTAGCCACTGACGAGTTTAGCTCCTTAGAAACAGATGCCTATATGCTCCTTAAATCAACTTAATAAAATATTTTAGATATTTTTTTTGAAATTTAAACTAAAACATTTTCTCAAAATATTTAAATTATTCTGGCAATAGCACATCAAAATCTAAACTCAATCAGTGTTTTACTACAGATTGTTAACTACTAAAATTACTGTTTATTTTTCTGCGTATTTCCCACTCCTGATTATATCTAATATTACTTTAATCTGTAAATAATTGTATTATAGTAAGTTTAATTGAGATAACGACCATGTAATGTTGTTTACATCTGTTCTAATTACGTCTAAATTTTTATTACAATGTCAACAAAATTACGCCATCTGAATAAATATGATTCAACTACTACTGTATAAGTAACTAAGGTTGCAAAATCTGGAGTAAAAAAATTGAAAAGAGGGAATTAAAATAATGTCCATCCTAACTCCATCCAAATGATGTTCTAGTTAAATAAAGCATATGACGATAAAGCTTTTTTTTTACTTTCTGATAATTTATAATAAAACTAAATGATTATTACCAGTTTTAATAAAAGTTTAGATTCTTACTATACCGGGTGTTGCATCGTCGAGCGGGACATAGGAAATCCCATGTAAATTTTATTGGGGTCAATTATTGGCTCCCTAATTATTTTAGAGAATAATTCTATTTAGGTTTATTGAAGAGCACTAAAACCCACATTCAAAAGAATAACTTTAGATATTTTTGATTAGTTCGTTTCCGAGTTATCGCCGATTTCTTTTTAAATATTTCTCCTTTCTTATGGCCCTGTATTTACTTATGAGCACCAATCAAGGTAAAATATAACTGTCAAATGAAGTTGTCATAATAGTACCTAAATTAATAAGTTATTGAATATTGTAATAATACTATAATTAACCTTGTAATTGATTATTTTATTTTACTTTAATTCATATTAATTTGTATTTATAAATACATCTTTAAGATTTTCGATGTAGGAATGAGTTTTCAATAATAATAAAGCACTAAATAGGTAAATTTCTGAAATGACAACTTCATTTGACAATTATTTTTTACCTTGACTGGTGCTCATAAGTAAATACAGGGCCATAAGAAAGGAGAAATATTTAAAAAGAAATCGGCGATAACTCGTAAACGAGCTAATCAAAAATATCTAAGTTATTCTTTTGAATGTGGGTTTTAGTGCTCTTCAATAAACTTAAATAGAATTATTCTCTAAAATAATTAGGGAAGCCAATAATTGACCCCAATAAAATTTACATGGGATTTCCTATGTCCCGTCCGACGATGCAACACCCGGTATATGAATTTACAATTACCGAGTGTTAAAATTAAAATTAAAATATCTATCTTTTTTATTATTTTTAAAATAAAATAGATTAATATCATAATTTTATGTATTTGGCAATAGTTTACAGTACGCTTTTTGTGTGTCATGTACGAATAATATCATAGTTTTATTATCTTGTATTTATTTATTCATAAATTAAGTTGTTAATAAATAAATAAATTTAACCAAACGGTTGCCATATATTAGACCATTTGCTATGTTCTTAGATTTTAAGTCCCAAACATCGCTCCTGAGATTTTGTCCCGCTAGAATAACCATCCGCCGCACAGTGGAACGAGCTTATGGGAGCGGTTGGACATGAGGTTTTCTTCTCAACACTTTTAATCCAAAGGACGAAAAAATGATTTTTATATACCGTAATAATGTATAAACAGAACAATTTTAAATTTTAATGAAAGAAAGTGGTTGACTCATTACAAGCCATCTACAGGGTGACCTAAAAATATAGTATGTTTTGGAAAAATCTTAGAATTTTTAAATGCTAATAAACTTTGCCAAAATGTCGTGAAATGCTTTAGTTTTGATTCTTTTAAAAAGAAATATCTTTAGATTTTACCACTGAAATCTAGGACTACTGATACCGTATTATAAAAATATAGTTTTTTATAATCATCTGCTGATGATGCTAACATGGTTAGCGAAACGCGCGTCCAGTGTAAAAGTGAAAGTGTTTTGGTGTATTGTGGTGATTTAGTGTTTTTATTTTGCTGTGTAACACCAAAGGGTCCAACCCTCAACTGTAATAAAAATATGACGCATATATTTATGTGTATATTGTGTATACTGCTTATATTTTCCTATTTAATATAATTTTGCTAATATCTTCGGTTTGAAAGAAGATATCAAGATGCGGTTTTCACTGATTTTTTAAGCTTTCGTTACTCTTTACTGTCAGCTAAAATTACATATACCATCGCATTTAATTTTTTTGAAAAAACGCGCAATGTTTGTTAAATTGTAAGACAGCGCCCCCTAGCGTCTACGTTCAAAAGCTTACTATTATTGTTTATATGGTATAATATAGAGTAAGAAACGCTCTTTTAAACGAGCCCCCGTTAGTTGGATTCTGTCCATTCAGTCCGGAGTTATTAATATTTAAATAAAAACAGATCTAACCTTCCCCCACCACTTTATTTTGGTAGGTAGGGGAAAATGGTTCTAACAAATAATATTCAGAATTTACTGAAGATTATGAAGCTATTATTTATAGTACCACTTATCTAGGCAAAATTGTGTAAAAACTCCATTTTCTTATTTTTCTATAGCAGTTGCACCCTCTAGCGGCCATTCTACAAACTTGAAAATAATTTCCAGCAATTTCTCATAGCCTCTTTAGTTATGAATATTTTTTTCCGCAGGCCTCACGGCTAATACTTTCCGAGATATAGCCGAGAGCTATTCTTAGTGGGACACCCTGTACACTAACTTTATTATAAGCAAAGAATATAACAGTAAATCTACGCACTAGAATATTTTTAACACAAACAAAAAAGCTCAACGCTGCACTTTAACCCTTTTTCTTTTTCCAATAGTTTATAAGTTTTCCATATATTTGTAGCACCCTGTATCTGTTTTTGATTTAAGCGTCATTTTGTATTTATCCAATTAATAATTAAATATTAATAAATTTATAAGAAAATAAAGATAATTTGACTCTTGATAAAGATAATTTGATTTATTGGAATTGAAAAGGTTTTTGATTTTAGTATAGCATGTATTAGTAATATATTAAATGGAAATTTTTAGAGGGGGGCAAGCTGGGGCAAGATATTAAATTAGTTTCGTTATTAGAAAGGCTTAATCTACCTTGTGACATATATAAAGTATTGGCCAACTTTGGCCATTTTTATTTTTCTACATACATATTTTTTGCTACTAAATCTAGTATTTAGTAGCAAAAAATGTTTATGTATCTCTTATATACAATAATTGTTCTCCCAAACTTTTGTGACTATATATATCTTTTATTTTAAAGTGAAAACAATCGTTTGCACTAATATATGTATGGTTAAAAAATTATTAATGTCTTTGCCACTTTTTATAAAACTAGGTTGTTTCACAAGAAATGAATACCATAATTAAGTCAGTGTAATATCTTCATTTGAAACTTTTCAAACAGACATATAATTAAAAATATTTTTTTGAGTTGGATAAAATATAACGGTCTGGACTTTAAGTAATTAAAATCTTCTACCAAAATTATTTAATTTAAAATTTTATTTTTAAGTCAATGTCCAACATTTTATATTGTGTCTTTCCACCGTGCGCCGCACTGGAGCGCTGGTCCCTGCGTGACGTAAGCATCCACGGCGATTTGACGCGATCGAACAGTCCTTTAGAATATATACAGTCTTTGGGCTACACCATAATTGGAAATGGTTGAATAAGCTGAACATGATGATGATTATAATCTATCTCCCTTAATCTTTTTATTCAAAGATTTCAAATTCTTTTAAAGGACTCAAAGACAACATGCAGAGCCACATTTATTCGCTAATGTAAAACGGCAGTTTGAGAAACAACACGCCTAAAGGAAAATCGAGAAGAACGATTTTCTTGAGTATTTTTTGAAGTTTTCCGTGGCGTTTGTCTGAAATTGTTCCACCAATAAAGGCCGACTGAAGGAAGTTGTGTGCCATCTGCCATCATATCAGGATCGTATTTTTTCCTGTTTAAATCTGAAAGAAAATGTGGAACGATTTGTCTTTATCGTCTGGGAAGTAACGACTTGGTTATAAATCTGACATTTTTTGACGGGAAGTAGACTCCAGTTGAGCTAAGAACTTGATACATAAAATAAGCGAATATATACATATGTTTTATGTAAATGATCGTAAGCCGAGAAGCTGGTTATAATTATTATAGCTCAGAGTAATTTTACATATATTTTTCCTTAATTAAAAAAAAATATTACACTATATTTTATTACTTTTTTCCATAGCAACTGTTAAAACATAGACAAACAAATAAAAAGAGATTGGCATAGATAAATGCAACAAGTTTAGATAGGAAAGCCCGTAAAAATTTTAGGTCGCGAAATTATTTTGGGTCGCGACCGTTATATGCGATCTGGCGCTGCTATAGCGATCGCCAAGAACAACGGCAAACAAAAACAGAAATAATTTTCTCTTGTCAAAGTCAGAATCTTCAAAAATCATAAAATCTGTCAAAATCTAAACCGCTCTCATTAAAGAAATTCCGAAAAGTGTTTATAACGTCCATTTTCAAAGTAATTATTTCTATCTTGTTGTTTAATTCGAGTTTTATGAATGAATTAAGAGTTTAATTCAAGTTTTATTTACTCCAACTGGTGATAATTGTAAAAAAGTGGCACTAAGAACTTAAAAAGCTGTGCTGTGAACTGTGAACTGCAAAACCATCGTGGATCGTGGCATAACGTCGGTTTCCAATGTTTCATAGGTATTTCATACATATCCTTATATAAAATAAAGTTTCTTGTATGCAACATACTGTATTTTATTTATAAAATTAAAAGCAAATAATAATAAATTTGAATAAACAATATTTGGCGATATAATTCCGGAAAAAGCCGAACCGCTCCGAACTTTTCAAATGTTTTGGGTCGCGACCGTTGCAAGAATAGCGCCAAATAGTGTTTACATTATCCTTATGGGTACTTTCCAATCTAAACTTGTTTCATTTATCTATGGAGACAGGCAAATTAAATGGCAAAGAGAGGGACAACGTTCCCGTAGCGCAACTCAGAACGCAAAATTTCGTTCTATTTATGTTGATCTGCGCATTGCGTCTATTGGGCCCACTATCTCATTCTAATATAACAAGAGAGAAAGAAGCAGCCATATAAAAGGTAATTTCTAAATAGAAATTAGAACAATCGCCTTTTGTTTTCGTCATCATGACAAATGACAACCAAGATGACAACATCACGACAATTCGTCATGTTTGTTAATTTTTTTTAGCGATTTACCTTTTTTTCTAAACTCTCCATTTTATTGACTTATGAATATGAATAGGGAACAAATTCCTTTGTTCCAAATAGGTATTTATATTTTGTTACTTATAATTTTAGGTTATACTATTTGTTATTTTATTTGCTGCAGGAGTCAGTATCATCTATTTTTTATATGTATTGGTGCCCCCTTTCTCTGATAGATATGTTAAAGACACCCGGTAAAATAAAAGTAAGTAGTTATATTTATCATCTTATTAAGAAAAAAGTAGAAGTAGTAGTGTCAAAAATATTTGGAACCTCTCTTAACATAACAAATTAAGACAATTATTTTTTTTCATTTTTTGGGTAGGTAGTTTATAGCTGGTTTATAGTAACCAGAAACTTTATTAATATACCTATTTTACTTTTGTTTTAGGATTAAAACTGGACTTGAAAATGGTTCAGGATCATGATTCTCGTAAAGTCTTCTTTGCTTGGATATTTACTTTGTTATTGCAATTAGGCAGTTTTTTCGAAAATGAGATTTTTAATGCCCTTTAAAAAAATGGCCGATCGTTTCCTGCAACAGTCAGTTCTTCTGCATTTAAAATTGGTAGGTGGGTGGAATAAACACTGTTATTTTTTGTTATTATATTATAAAAAGTTTATTTATTTTTATGTATAAATAAATATGTTAAACAGTACAATTTTTGCTTTTTTTTTATAATTTCCCTTATAATAGTAGTATTCTTTCGTTCTGAAAGAAACTGCAAATTTTCACTTACACTGATTTATTCCCTACATCACGTTCCCTTTATCTTGTTGGAATCTTGTATCTTCTGGAATAAATCAGTTTAAGTGAAAATTTTCAGTTTCAGAATGAAAGAATACTACTAATAATGGCTAATTTAAATATCCCGCCAGCCAGAATGTGCGATAATGTCTTACGATACGTTTTATACCTACCTCTTTCTTTTTCATATAAAGCAGACATAATAAAGAAAGAAAGCTATAAAGACGTGCGTCTTGCCATGGTCCTGCTAATTGGTTTCAAAATTGTTATTCTGTTGAGTTGCGCTACGGGAACGCGGTCCCACTCTTTACCATGGGATTTGTCGTCTCTTTTTATTTGTTTGTCTATGATATTGACTCAAAACTGACAACTAAAGAGATCTTTATTTTATTTGTCAAATTATATAGAAACCAACGCCAACCCAGCACAATATTTTTTCTACTCGTAATAAATTCTTTGAAATAATAATTTCTGAATATTTTTTAAAACGTAACTCGCTATGGAAAAAATATTGTTTTATACACGACGATAAAATTGCATTATTGTCTCTCGAAATTAATTCACTCACGATTTCATCGCTCGTGAATTAATCTTTTCGGTCGACGATAAAATACTATTTTATATTTTATCGTCTTGTATAAAAAATAACTATTATCTGATTTAAAAACAGAATAGAACCAAAACTATTTATCTGAACAAGGACATACCTGTTTACTAACTACTTAAAATAGTGTTTTAAACGACTTAAATCACATATACACTACACCGACGAATATTTGTAATCAACAAGAAGGCGCCATTTTGGAAAAACCATTGTTAAAGATAAATTTTAATTATTTACAACCTGTGACTTAACTCTATTGAACTCGAAATAATAATAATAGATATTACAGCAGTAAAATGATATAAAGTTATTCAGATAAGTCAGTAAACAATTGACGTATTTTTATTAGAAATATTCGAGCAAATTCTTCGAATAAATTTATACTCATACAATCAAAAATTTTTTTTGAGAATTTAAATGAATCTTTCCATCTAGAAAACTACAAAACGACAGTTTGAGCTATTTGATAATGTTTAAAACTTCTCCTACATCCATTACTATTTTCGCAAGACAACAATGTCCTATATTTTTTTTATTCTACGCCTTTTAATTAGTAAATAATAGCAGTTTTAACAAAATCGGTGACATGACGAGAATCGCCAATTTTCATGACTATATGTTTGGAAAAAAAGTCAAAAAAATTACAATTTTTGGCTATTTTTTCCACATGTTTAAAGTCCTCAGAAATATAGTAATCATAGCCATAGAATTGGGAAAATTTCAGAATTTGTACGAAATTTTATGTCGATTCAGAATATATACACTTTTAAAAGTTTGGATATCTTGGTTTAATGATAAAATTAATTTTTTGGACCCATGTTTTGAGCTATTTTAGATGATAGTTAAAACGTCTCCTACATCTATTACTGTTCTCGTAAGACAACATTAATGTCCTATATTATCTTATTCTAAGCCTTTTAATTAGTAAATAATAGCAGTTTTAACAAAATGGGTGACATTGGTTAACAAAATCGGTGACATGTATGGAAAAAAAGCCAAAAAAATTATAATTTTTGGCTATTTTTTCCACATGTTCAAGGTCCTCAGAAAGATAGTAATCATAGCCATAGAATTGGGAAAATTTCAGAATTTGTACGAAATTTTATGTAGATTCAGAATATATACACTTTTAAAAATTTGGATATCTTGGTTTTATGATAAAATTAATTTTTTGGACCCTTGTTTTGAGCTATTTTTAATGATAGTTAAAACGTCTCCTACATCTATTAGTGTTCTCGTAAGACAACATTAATGTCCTATATTTTCTTATTCTAAGCTTTTTAATTAGTAAATAATAGAAGTTTTAACAAAATCGGTGACATTGGTTAACAAAATCGGTGACGTATGGAAAAAAAGCCAAAAAAATTATAATTTTTGGCTATTTTTTCCACATGTTCAAAGTCCTCAGAAAGATAGTAATCATAGCCATAGAATTGGGAAATTTTCAGAATTTGTACGAAATTTTATGTAGATTCATAATATATACACTTTTAAAATTTTGGATATCTTGGTTTTATTTTGGTTTTATGATAAAATTAATTTTTTGGACCCTTGTTTTGAGCTGTTTTTGATTACGGTTGAAACGTCTCCTACATCCATTACTATTCTCGTCAGACCGCAATGGTCCATATTTTCTTATTCTACGCCTTTTAATTAGTAAAAAATCGGTCACAACACATGACAAAAATCTTCTATTTTCATGACTAAACATATTAAAAAAAATTGGCCCCGGGAGGCACGTATAGCCGCCCGTACTAAAATATGTTAGTAAAAAGTTTTTTCATTTTCAGAGGTCTAAGGGGCCTACTCTGTATTGCATATGTATAGGGAAATTAAAATAACTTTGGTTGCACATTATAATACGCCCACCAGCAAACTCCATAAGACGACGCATGGTGTCATTGATGACGTGCAACGAAAGTTGTTTCAATTTCCCTATAGGTATGTATTCTTTTAAATTAAATATATACTTTAAAAAGATAAAAACAGCTGCTTAAGAAATATTTATTGGCGGTATCTTTATCACGTAAATCAATCTATTGAACGTTATTTTTGTTAATACCAGACTGGAGACTTTTTGATGGTATTAAAAATGCAATATATTTTCTTACATTAGACGACAGCATTTTTTTTATTATCATTGTCTCATGATTTCTCAATTTTTATTTCGAAAAATAAATGTTTCAATTTCGTCTGTGACACAGCAATAAAAAAATATAACCAATATAATTGCTATCATCAGAGAATAGACTAGACAACATTTTTTAGGGTAATAATAAAATACTGTTTTGTCTGTGATTGTCTTCAGGCTTCATTGATCTTAAAGATATCTAGAATAAACAAAAACACTTGATACTCTTATCTTCCTAAATTGTTATTTTTATTACATGCCTCTTTAATTATAAATAAACTAGCGTGTACCAGCGACTTCGTTCGCGTCGAATTAATCATTTGTAATGGTGATGATTATACCTATTCCTAAAAAAACTGGTGCAAAAAGATGTGATGAGTTTCGTTTAATAAGTCTGATGAGTCAAGTCCTAAAGCTGTTTTTAAAGGTTCTGCATAATCGAATCCGAAGAAAATGTGAGCTAGACATAAGTGAACAGCAAATGGGATTTCGCGAGGGACTGGGGACGAGAGAAGCCCTGTTTGCGCTATCGGTGCTTTTGCAGAAGTGCAGAGATCAACGAAAGGAGGTACACCTATGCTTCATAGACTACACGAAGGCATTCGACTGCGTCAACCACAGGGAATTGCTGAGCATCCTTGAAAGAAGAGGCCTGGATACCCAAGACCTGAAAATTATCCAAAAGCTATACGAACAACAAGTAGCGACAGTAAAACTACAGGACACTGAAACAACAGCAATACCTATCAAGCGTGGAGTTAGGCAAGGATGCGTATTGAGCCCTATGCTCTTCAATATGTACTCCGAACTAATATTTCGAAATGCGCTTGAGGGATCAGAAGACGGCATAAAAGTGAATGGCAGGCTGATTAACAACATGAGATATGCTGATGATACCGTCGTTATTGCAGACACCACTGAGGGCCTGCAAAGACTTCTTGATAGACTGTCCTCGGTGGGCGACTCAATGGGTCTCAGGATAAATACAAACAAAACAAAAGTCATGGTGATAAATAGAGATGCAAGACAGGCAACGGAGGTAGTCGTAGGTGGGACACCAATAGCAAGAGTCTCAAAGTTTAGATATTTGGGCAGTTGGATTAGTGAAGACCTAAACCCAGACATTGAGATCAGAGCTCGAATTGAGATGGCTAGATCAAACTTCCTAAAATTGCGGAACCTACTGTGCGATAAACGTCTCAACATCCATATAAAAGACAACTTCGTCAAGTGCTACGTACTTTCCACACTTCTCTACGGGGTTGAGTCGTGGACACTCAAAGTAAGCGCAATGAATAAGTTGGAAGCATTTGAGATGTGGGTATATCGCAGAATGCTGAGAATACCATGGACTGACCGTGTCTCGAATGAACGAGTTCTAAACCAAATGAACAAGGACCGAGAACTCCTCGACATAATAAAAAAGAGGAAAGCAGCCTATTTGGGCCATATCATGAGACATAGCAAGTATGAATTCCTTCAGCTCATCATCGAGGGTAAAATTGAGGGAAAGCGCGGACCCGGACGACGGCAATGCTCCTGGCTGAAGAACATCAGAGATTGGACAGGCCTGGACTCACATACTTTGCTGAGAAGAGCGAAAAATAGAGAGGAATTTGCCATGGTTGTTGCCGATCTTCACTGAATGGAGAAGGCACTTTAAGAAGAAGAAGAATGGTGATGATAAAGCAAGGCAAGAATTTCCATTAACATACAAACTGGATAAATTTTTCTCACATTTATGTCAGCATGAGAAAAAACAATATGGCGATATTATTATATACTAACTTGGTAATATTTGAGGGGTACCTAGTTTCATATCGTTGGAATTTGACTTTCGAAAAATCCGTTTGCCAAAAATAAGCTTTTTACGTCAAGCAGTTTAAGCAGACTCGTGGTTAAGAAATTACCCAACTTTTTGGAACACCCTGTATGATTTTTTAAAAAATTTCAAAATATGTAAAAAAACCAAATAAATTATGCTTGTCCAAGCGTTTTCCCGAAAGACTAACCGTTTTTTAAATAAGAAATATTGTAATATTTGAGGGGCGTTTTTACCCTCTTGGAATTTCAGATTCGAGAAACCCCTCCTTATCGAACCTCTACACCCCACAGTCAATCCGTTTGCCAAAAATCAGCTTTAAACGTCAAGCAGTTTAAGCAGAATCGTGATTACTCAATGGTCATATTTTATGAAACACCCTGTATAAATTTATAAAAAATCTTAAAATATGTAAAACAACAAAATAAAATATACGTGTTTAAGAGTTTTTCCGAAAAACTCACCGGTTTTTAAATAAAAAATATTTTAATATTTGAGGGATAGTTTTACCCCTTTAGAATTCGAGTTTCGAAAAATCCCTTCTAATCGAACCTCTACACCCTAAAGTCAATCTGTTTTCCAAAAATCAGTTTTTTACGTCAAGCGCTTTAAGCAGGACCGTGATTAATCAATGACCAGATTTTTCGAAACACCCTGTATACATTTTTAAAAAAAATTAAAATATGTAAAAAAACAAAATAAAATATACGTGTTTAAGCGTTTTTTCGGAAACTTGACCGTTTTTTAAATAAAAAATATTTTAATATTTGAGGGGTGGTTTCACCCTCTTGGAACTGGAATTTCGAAAAATCCCTTCTTATCGAACCTCTACACCCTAGAATCAACCTGTATGCCAAAATTGAGCTTCTTACGTTGAGTGGTTTGAGCAGGATCGTGATTAATCAGTATGTCAGTCACTTAAGGATTTTAAATAGTAGTATAGATGGTCCCAAGATGGTCCTCATATCTATAAGAGTAAACTTCAACAAAACATTACATTTCAAACTCGATCAGTTGTTAAAACTCAAAATCGATAGTAAATTGACAAATAATTGTTTTTCTATTAATGATTCGGTAGTTTTATATTCGTTTACGGTATCACAATAAAATGTTTCTTCCAAGAAATGAATACCTCTGATGACTTTCTAATCGGTTTAATAATATCAGCCGTACAAAGGTATATAACAATCTATCCTTGATAAAGTTTGTAAAAAATCTTTTCAAGTGTTTTTTATTTCTACTGTAATTCCTATATCTATCTAATCAAACTGGAAAATAATCGTTTAAATATTCAGTAAAATC